CATTATCCTCAATATAAAATTATATTTTGATTAAGAATGCTAATGTTAATAATAAATTATTAATAATATCAATTTGACATCTATATGACACAGGCTATTACAAATTATTACTCTACTACTTTATTTGATATTACTTTTACTACACATTACTATTATTGTTAGCATTTATATAGTAACACATTCTGTAGCACTTTACAATAATAGAATAAGGATATTGGAGAACAAATGATAGATAAAAGAAAGTTAATATTTCGCTTGATAAAATAGAAAATTAAAATTTCAAATAAACATCTGCATCTAAATAAATCATTTTTACTTTGAATTGGAAGTGGAATGAAAAGGAAGCATGTCAAAGCCAACCGTAGTATGATATATCTATCTTAAGTAGGTACATTGAGCAAAGCAGATGTATTCCTTGGGGAAATGTGGGAACATATTCTAAGCATAACTCACCAGATTGTTCCTTTTTAAAAAAAATAAAATATTAGCAAGAGTAAAACTGACTTCTATAATGGCATATATAAAAAAAAACATTTAATAAAGTTATCCCCAAGAAAAAATATAAATCATTGAAAGAGTTCTAATTAACGTCCAATACATCTAATTAATTAAGTACAAAATCCTGTTACTGTATTCCAACTAATGATGAATTACATCACTGAACTCTCTCTAGTGGGGTTAATGACATGAAGTATAGCTATGATAATTCACATAATTATGTAATAAAAACTGTACAGTGTTAAAAGTGTTAACAAATTCATTTTTCACTTGCAATTATATCCCTTCATGTCTTAACCCCTTTTATGTCTTAATGATTAAATATCTTATCCAGGTTGCTATTTCTAGTTGTACAACATCTAATAAACAATTTTTTTTTATCTGAATTCAAGCAGATGTTACAGTTTTGTGTTTTGTTTCTTTCAAATTATGGAAATGGCCACAGCTGCCGGGAAGCATATTTAAACACACACCATCAGCGCGTTGTTGAACTTATATGGTGCCTATTACTATTTGCCTTTGCTCCTATTTGTTCTCTCCTCTTTAGGTCCTTTAGCCCGAACAACCCATGTCCATTCCCTGAAGCCTCTCAGAAAGCTCCATAGTTCATCGAATTGACCTCCCGGATTTTGACCTGGTCTACGAATAAAGAATTCCCTCTTGTCTTTTGCTTTGGACTGGATTCACTGCTATTGATACGGATTGTTACACTATTTTCTCTCTCACTCCCTTGCATTGTAACTAACTTGGCTTGTATTTGTGGATCCGTGTATTGTGTGCACCCTGGATCTACAATACTCACCTGGATATAGTTGTCATTTACTTTTGCTTTTCTGTTATCAGATTTTCAATTGCTCCTAGAAAAACAAAATAAATATGTTTTATCTTTGCATCAATCATATTGTATCTGCTAAAAAGTTACTTTTTTTATTTTAAATATAATTACAATATTTGCTTGACATACACACAGGCATTATGGTGAATACATAAGAAATGGCTCAAGGAGGTTCCCTTTCACTGTATACTTATAGGTCACAATTTTATATAGTTCATCTGTTGAACTACATATTATTTCAACCATATTGGGTCGTGTTTTATGAAATATGCTAGATAGATTGTAAGCTCACTTGAGCTGCGCCTTTTACACTTCTTGACTGTCAACATAATTTGTGTACGCCAATTACTGATTCTTAAAAATCCTTATTGTATAATTGGAAATCATTCCTAATTCTAATAATAATATTAAGAATTAGTATTAAGAATTATTAGTAATAATTAGTAATATAATAATTATTAATAGTAGTAGTATTAATTCAACGCCACTAAAAACAATGGAAAATGTGTCAGCAACTTCCTAATTTTGACAGAGCACATTAATTGGAAACTTGCCCGTTTATGCAGTGCTCAGAGCAAGAACCTCTATATTCTAAGGTAAATCATTTATTTATTGTTCTAAAAAAATAGAACTCCAGCCTAAAGTGTAAGTAAGCAAAAAGGTGAAAACTTGATAAAATGCAATAGTGAAAAAAAAACAAAATGCTGTCTAAAGACAGAATTGCCTCATATAAAAAAACAAACAAACAAAGAGATAACTTATAGAGTAGTATTTAATACACAGTTTAAAACATACTAAAACAATGAAGACAGACACTGACAAGGATAAAGCACAAATAAATTGGGCTTTAATTGCATTGCCCACTAGTGGGCCACGAATCTCTGAGATGGTATAGATTGTGGGTCCAGGACATCTTTCAATTCACTAATTTGGGAAATAGTCTTATGTAAAAGTGTATAAAATAACATTTCCACTGTACTGAAATCTTATAATTCACTGCAGTTCAGATCACTAAAGAGTTAGCTTAGAGTTGTTAGTCTATATTTCCGTTTGCTCAGTGCATTTCGTCCACATCCACAAGCACCTCTATAATCTAGGTGTAAGAATAAAATGAAATAAAATAATTGATAATTAGTTACACCTTAATGTATAGAGAGGATAGTAAAAGATGGATGAGGAGCTTGGACTTTTCTGCTGTTAATAGCTAGATCAGCAGTATGGATGGTGTTTAATTAGGACTTTACTGCTGTTAATATGCAAACAGCAGTAAGGGGCAAGAATTTAGGAAAGAATGTATAAAGTCGAAACTTGTAAACAACCAAAAAAGCTTACTATGATAAAACTTTGAAACCTAGTCTACAGGTTTATTCACTAACATATTAAATATCAAAAAGCATAAAGAAAATCACATTCCAACACTAGGGTAAATATTTAATTTATTTTTTCTAAAAAAAAGAAATACAGCCTGAAGTGTTTTTCTTGCCTGTTTTTTCTATTACAAATAGAGTTGAGCGAACCCAGACTGTAAAGTTCAGGTTCGTATTGAACATTACGGTTTTTGGACCCCGGACCCGAACACGGACATATCACTGTATGTTCGGGTTGGAGTTCGATGTTCGGCGATTTAATGGCGCGTTTTGAAAGGCTACAGGGCAGCCAATCAACAAGCGTTTGACTTGTGTGCCCTTAGAAGCCATCACAGCCATGCCTACTAATGGCATTGCTGTGATTGGCCAGTGCAGCATGTGATCCAGCCTCTATATATAAGCTGGAGACGCATAGCGCCGCACGCACATAAGGTCTTATTAGTGTAGGGAGAGGATGCTGCAGCTATGAGGGACAGCTTAGGAAAGAATTCTGCAAACTAGTACATTAGTGGAGTGCACTTCATATCTGAGAGTCAAATAGAAGCGTCTAATAGTGTGCCTACAGTGCAGTGGTAAACATTCTAATTGTTTTGCTGCTAATCTGCTAAATAGTAAATTTTGGGGCCTGCTCTTCATATCTGAAAATCAAATAGAAGCGTCTAATAGTGTGCTTACAGCGCAGTGGTAAACATTCTAATTGTTTTGCTGCTAATCTGCTAAATAGTACATTTTGGGGCCTGCTCTTCATATCTGAGTGTCAAATAGAAGCGTCTAATAGTGCGCTTACTGCGCAGTTGTAAAAATTCTAATTGTTTTGCTGCTAAGCTGCTAAATGATACATTTGCGGCCTGCGGTGCACTTCATATCTGAGAGTCAAATAGAAGCGTCTAATAGTGCGCTTACTGCGCAGTTGTAAAAATTCTAATTATTTTGCTGCTAATCTGCTAAATAGTACATTTGCGGCCTGCGGTGCACTTCATATCTAAGAGTCAAATAGAAGTGTCAAATTGTGCGCTTACTGCGCAGTTGTAAACATTCTTATTGTTTTGCTGCTAATCTGCTAAGTAGTACATTTTGGGGCCTGCTCTTCATATCTGAGAGTCAAATCGAATCGTAACTTTGATTCGAATTAACTACGTCGGTCACTTGTAATATTGTTTCACACCTACAACACTTGTTACACAGATTCAAGTGATAGAAAACAGATTGATATTTTCTACACTAGAAACTACCAGATATCAAGCTGTTATATTTAAACCAGTTATCAATAGCTAAGAGGTACTTAAACAATATTGTAATTCTGGGGCAATACCCTCACAAGTCAAACTGAGAGGTCAGTTTATAGGGAAAATGGTTGCCTGGAGGAAATTCTAAAACAATTTCCATGTGTCCTTTGCAGACTTTACATACTGAAAAAATACAGATGCCAACTGCTATGGCTTTCTGACATGTGCATACCAGCAAGGAGGGCAGGGTTGAGGAGTGGGTGGAAGATGATGTGGAGGATGTTGAGGTCCTAGACCCCACATGAAATCAAGGTCATGCGAGTGACGTGTGAGGAAGAGGCACTGGTCGCACAGAGGCACCAGCACAGCATAAGAGGGAGCTGGGTGCAAAAGCGGAGCGGCCGTCCCCTAGCACTCGTCGGCATGTATTAGCTTGAGAATTACTAGTTATCCAAGTAATACATGTAGCGATCAAAGGATCCATAATAGAGTTGAGCAAACCCGAACTACAAAGTTTGGGTTCGTACCAGATTTAACGATCCATTAGTAGTTTCACAGTCAGATGGGCAGTCCGGTGACTAGGACACAGACACTGTCTGGACAGCGGTCGGACGACCGTGACCCAGTATACCTGATACTGAAGTTAGGAGTCACAATGTGGAATGGTATAGCAGGGTCTGGTGCAGGGTAACGGCAGATCCCTGGTGTTGAGCACCAGCGTTTGTGCGGCCACATACCAGGACCCTGATGCAGCTTTAGTAAAAAGAGTACTGGATACCAGAAGCCATCTCCAGACTGATCCGCAACTTGGAAGAGGATATGACATTCACTGTAGCGGCTGTGTGCTTTCGGCATTCTCACCCTGCTGCTGCTCGCCTGCCTGTGCTGCAGCGTAAATTTGGCCTTCCCGCTCACTGCCTCATATGCGATGTGCCTTGCACCTTGCACATGCTGGAGAGACTGTTTGAGCAGCAGCAGGCGATAGTGGAGTTTCAGCTACAGCACCCACGGGTCAGTGGCTCTGCACCAGACTTCCCTCCAATTGATCAGAGTTAAAGGATTTTTTGTCGACATTACCTTCCCGCATCGGGAATGGGTCATTTGCGCGCCTGCTGCCTTCCTTGCATGTGGTAGCCGTTTCTCAGGGTCCCTGTACGGAATGAAACCCTGATTCCCTGTTACCCGTGGTCACCATGGTAGGCGCAGAAACTGGCATCGAAAGTTGATATGGATGACATCCGAATGCAAAGTCGCCATCACAGGGATGTGCGATTGGCCCGCGGTTCTCTAGAGTCAACAAAGTCTGCGCAACTATAATGTCAACAGCTACTCTGTGGAACAGAGTTGTCCTTTTTTATATATTTTGGGGGCTTCTCCATGCATCAGGAGTTGAGCATTTCTCCATGCATCAGGACTGAAAGAAATGCACCACGGGCCGCAAATGTTTCTTTATTTGTATGTCCCAATATTTTGGGGGCTACCCTAATTAAAATAAAAAATAGATATATATAAACAGTGTTGGCTACCTCCTCCTCCTCCACCGCCACTTCCACCCACACCGCCACGGTCACTGCCTCCTCAGCCTATGAGTCAGTTAGTATAAACTATGTACACAATAGCAGAGGCTTGTGAAGGCCTTTTCTCCATGCATCAGGAGTTGAGCATTTCTACATGCATCAGGACTGCAAGAAATGCACTGCAGGCCGCAAATGTTGCTTTTTTTGTATGCCCCAATATTTTGGGGGCTACCCCAATTAAAATAAAAAAAATATATATATATATATATAATACACAAGATCCAGCGCACTCACCTATCCACTAAACAGCAACTTCAATGTTGAAAGATTTTATTAGTTTTTTTAAAAAACACCTAATCTAGGCAAAAATAATGGGGGTTTAGTTACATTATATGATCATACATTGCATAAGCCTGCCACAACGTCAACGTACCCCATCTTTGGCAGGTCCTACACTAACAGCCTAATGTCTGCTCTTATGAGATTAACCACTTACTTGAGGAAAAAAAATTCCATCTGGGGCTCTCTGCAGTACAAGGCCAAATAGGGTCCTGGGATGAGGCACCTGTGACAGGGAGGGGTGCAAAACCAAGGAGTTGGCTAGACTCCCAAATATATATAAAACAAGAGGGGGTTGGCTGCACTCACCTTAACATGCATAAATGGGGGTGCTGCTGGGGGCCAAATAATACAATACACAAGATCCAGCGCACTCATCTATCCACTAAACAGCAACTTCAGTGTTGAAAGATTTTATTCGTTTTTTTAAAAACACCTAATCTAGGCAAAAAAATGGGGGTTTAGTTATATATATATATAAAAAACAGTGTTGGCTACCTCCTCCTCCTCCACCGCTGCTTCCACCTACACCGCCACGGTCACTGCCTTCTCAACCTATGGGTCACTTAGTATAAACTATGTACACAATAGCAGAGGCTTGTGAAGGCCTTTTCTCCATGCATCAGGAGTTGAATATTTCTCCATTAGGACTGCATGAAATGTACCACAGGCCGCAAATGTTCCTTTTTTTATATGTCCCAATATTTTGGGGGCTACCCCAATAAAAAAAAAATATATATATATATATATATATATATATATATATATATAAAAACAGTGTTTGCTACCTCCTCCTCCTCCACCGCTGCTTCCACCTACACCACCACAGTCACCGCCTCCTCAACCTATAGGTCACTTAGTATAAACTATGTAAACAATAGCAGAGGCTTGTGAAGACATTTTCTCCATGCATCAGGAGTTGAGCTCAGTTTGAACAATGAAAGAGAATACCCTGCACTCCAACCCTCTCTCAAATGGATAATTCTGGTGATCCTCCTGACAACCATGCTTTACATTTTGATTTATGTTCTTCCAAAGCTAAAATCAAAAATTCCATCTAGTGCTATTTTATGGCTCAGCGGTATTTTTAATTTTTTGGTATTTTATGTTATTTTAGGGGATTTCCCTATCCACATTTGTTTGCAGGGTACTTGTCCTACTCTTTTTACTTCCTTTTGCAGCTCTCTAGCCCTTTCCAGGAGTTTTTTAGAGGCATTTTTGTGCCCAAAAGTTAGGGTCCCATTTACTTCAATGGGGTTCGGGGTCAGTTCGGGGTCACGTTCGAGCCCGAACCCAGACTTTTTTTCAACGTTCGGCCGAACCCGCCAGACCCGAACATCCGGTGTCTGCTCAACTCTAAATACAAATTGAAATGAATATTAGTTATGCTTATTAAATTACCTCTTGATGTTGAAGTTGGAAATAAAAATTTTACCTCATTAATTACATCATAAGAACAATTATTGTCTAACATCAAACATTCATAAAATGCTAATGTCGTATAACTCAATTGAACACCTTTCTGTCATAGGTCCCTGTGATTCTGTCAGCGTGGTTGCACATAAAGTAAGCAATTATGCCGACAGAAACAAATATTACTTACCTTGTTCGCGGCAGATCACTGCCCGACCTCCCTCTAGTTCGGTCCCCAGCAGGTGCGACACTCTTAGGAGTGCCGACCGCTGTGGGTTGGATTTTTGTAAAATACTTTCCTTTGTATTTTGCAGTATAAGATTTATTCTATAAAGCCTCACTCACAATTATATATATACTAAGAATGACAACCAGACTATAGATGATCACATCTTTGCTAGAAGCCACTAGTCATTGATATAATGCCCACAGGTTTGCTGAAAATGTCATCTCACCCCTTTGAAGCAATAAAGTTTCAATGGGTAATATAATTCTACAGTTGGGAGGAATGAATGAACTCTACCCTTTTACTGTCAGCATAACGTTGGCATTACAGTTACAGATTAATAATGTTTGCTACTGCAATTTTAAAAACCATATCTTAGAAATATATTATTTAACTGTAGTTAATGTATCCGGGCAATATGCATAAATGAATAAATTATTTTTACATTCTATTGCCTTGTTTAACCCCTTAAGGACGGGTGACGGACGAGGTCCGTCACAGAGGGGAGACCCTTAGTGACGAGTGACGGACCTTGTCAGTCACGCGGTAAAATTAATCCCGGATCGCCGCTATCATGGCGATCGCGGGGTTAATGGTGCTCCGCTATGCCTCTGCATTAAAAGTCATACCGGGAGCACCCGGTCAGGCTGCCCAGAACATGTGCTCGCTCTGACCGCAAGTCAGAGCGAGCACATTTGCTCTGTATACTTACCTTCCAGCTCCCTGCACTTCCTGGTTCTGTGTGAAGTACAGGGAGCCGGAACAGTGATGATCCTGCCCCCTGCTGGAAAAAAAATAAAGTTTATTTAAAGTCCCACCCCCCTTTACCCATTTTAATAAAAAATGAACCCCTTCCCTGCCAATTGATCACTGACTACAGTGATCAATTGGCAGGGATTACATTTTACTATGATCTGATTTTTTTTTTTACTCCTGAGGGTTAATTCTTTTTTTTTTTTTAACCCTCAGGGGTTAAATTTATTTAATTAATTTAAATATGTTAAAATTATATATTTAGCTAGCCGGGGTGGGTGGAAGTTAGTGGGGAATTGGGGGATTTGGCGTAATCTAACTAGGGGTTAACATTAAAAAAAGTTTTAAAATAAACTTTAAAAAGTTAAAAATTAAGCTTAAAAAAGTTTTAATAATGTTTAAGTAAAAAATAAAAAAACAACCCCGTTACCTAGTCCAAACAAAAATTAACCCCTTCCCTACCAGTCGATCACTGCCTACAGCGATCAAATACAGATCACAGTATTATACTGTGATCTAATTTTTTTAACCCCTGAGGATTAACTTTTATTTATTTTTTAACCCTCATTAATTAATTTAAATATTGTATAACTATATATTTTGCTAGCTGGGGTGGGTGGGAGTTATGGTAAAAAAAAAAGCTTAGAAAAATGTTAAATCTGTAAAAAAGTTTTAAGAAAGTTTAAGAAAGTTTATTTTTTTTATATTTCTTTATTTTTATTATATGAAAGTTTTAACATTTGCGTGTGAGGTACCCCAAAGGCAATCCTCCAGCGCATTAAAACAACCAGAAACAGAGATATATGTTAAAACACGACAAAAATTAAACAAACAAACAGAGAAAAAAAAACATCAATATAACTGCTTAAGGCATAGATATGCTGGCAATATATTGTAATATAGGCACTGTGCAATATTAAACACCGAAAGTTTCCACATAAAGTACAGTGTTTCCATTGAAAACCATCGTACACACGATGTATATTTCAATCACGCTACATTTGTCCACTGCCAACCGCTATCAGAAGGAATTCATGCCAAAAATTTCCATGGTATAGCTGTCACATTGATAAACATACAAATAAATAAATAAATAAATAAATAAAATAATAAAAATTTTTAAAAATTATAATACGAATATATTACATTCTCTGAGACTCGATATGGGGGGGAACCACAATCTGTTATCATATGTTCTGTCTATTTGTCCAGGGTAACCATAGTTTGGCCACATCTCTAGTGCCAAAAAAGGGGTTTGATTCCATCCTGTACTGATAATCTATTTGCTCCATAATATTGTGCCATATTAATGGGATAGAAGATTTCCAAGCCTTAGCTATACATATTTTAATGGCAAAAAATATATGGGTCAAAAGATATTTTTGATATTTATCTTGCGAAGGGAAACCAATGTTAAAGAGAAAAAGTTGAGGGCTAATTTCTTTTATCTCCTTAAAAATAGAATTAATAAGTCCAAGCATTTAAATTTTTATATTATTAAGACCCTGACACTCCCACCATATATGATAATTAGTGCCCTCCTCATTTCCACATCTCCAACAATTCCTAGAATGTACAGATGATATTTTATATAGTCTAGCCGGTACCATATACCACCTATATATTATCTTTAAATGTGAGAAAGTTTAAGAAAGTTTAAAAAAAATAATAAGCAAAACAAAAGTTTAAAAACTAGTTTTTAAAAGTAAAAAAGTAAAAAAAAAGTAAAAAAAATACATTTTAAAAATGCTCATTACCACTACACCTGGAACAAACTAGAGAAAAAATTATCCCACGCCAAGGTTCAAAATATGCCTTTTGAATTACCCCAGGGTGTATTCTTTAATAAATAGTATGTGTTTGTGGGGAAGTTTCAATAACCAACCACTCTAAACATGGACACAGCGTAAAACTTCAAAGTTAGAAAAAAACTGAATGGCTTCGTCTCAAATGCGCCACTTCAACATCCACATATACCTGGCAAAGGTACATACGGGGGTATTGCTGTACTCAGCCGACATAGCTGAGCAACATATGAAGTATTATAGCACACATAAGGTTTGCAAAATATGCTGCGCAAACTCACTTTGTATGTCAAAAAGGCAGAAAAAACGCTTATTACCACTACATCTGGTACAAGCTAGCGGAAAAATTTTCCCACGCTAAGGTTCAAAATATGCCTTTTGAAATACCCTGGGATATCTTCTTTAAGAAATGGTATGGCTTTCTGGGGTATTTGGATTATATAGCCTGGTAAAATACTCTAAAATGGGACATAGGCACAGCGTAAAAATTAAAAGTT